TTAAAAAGTACCCAGATCGCGAAACTTATTTTTTAGAAACACATGAAGAGTCTCGTCACCCACTCGAAACGCGCCCTGCTGCAAAAGAGCTAGCTCTATCTCGTAAAGCGGTTCTTGCAGGTGCTTCAAACAACAAGAAGCTCGCCGCGCGGAACATCTTTCCAGGCAGAACAAAGCGTCTGGATGGTGGGGTTTTGACAATGAGGTGATGTCCCCGTCGCTGAATGCCACCCAGGGATAATTTGCACGGACAATCAATTTGTAAACACCTCTACGGCCCGTGCCGGACGGCGTCCACGCTCCCCAATAGGTGAAGCGGTCATGACCGAGACAGGTGGTTATGGTCTCCTGTAGAGACCTCCCCGGATCGTACCGTCTCATGACCCATGTTGGGGCAGCTAAATGCCGGCAAAACTCCTGGTCCCTCGACTGGGAGCAGGCGTTGTCTAAACAGCAGTAGCAGTCGTCGAGGGATCCTGGTTCGGCGAGGCATGACGGCCGCCGTGGTCCGCTTTGACTGGGCTCAGAAAATAGTGCAAGTCCCATGGTCAGGATCTGAGGCCATAGAGCACCCAGAGAGCATAACCTACGAATGATTCTGCACCGCAACAATATATATACTGTCTAAATCGTAGCCATTTTGTATTTTGCCTGAAGACTGTTCTTGAAGGAGGTCATCATGGACGCTTGATGCCGTAATTTGGACCCTCACAAATACTCGCAATCCTGTACATGTCACCGTCATCTCCAACCTTGACATTGGTATTTCGTAGTTGATTGAAATGGGCCCATATTTCAAACCATGCAGGTTCCATTACGATGACAACATGTTGCTCTATTCAAGGCCTACTGGAAAGGGCATCTGAGAAGATGGCCTGGATTGATGACGTGGGATTTCTAAGGGTATGCTTGGCCTTTCACAAGATTGCGAGGATGATAAGACGTCCTCGAAGTATCCACTAGATAAGATAGAACTACCAAACGAAGGACGTCCTAATTCCAAGGTACATAGCGTTACTCAACTTCAACATGACCAAGGGACCAATATGTGATCGAATAATATGTTGTTTAATTCCTACTGTAGCACAAGGCGCTGCGACGAAATCTCTAGGGCTCTAAGATTGCAGCAGGCGTCGCAGGTAAGTGTCCTTAGTCTTCAGACCAGTTTTTATTTATTTACAGTAATAATAATACATACAGCAAGCTTTTCGCAGAGGCCACTCATCCAAATTTGCGGCATGGGCTCTTAAAACTAGGTGCTTGCTCTTTGCGATCCTGTTCGCCGTCATTGATCGTCATCACAGATATAATCTCGCGACCCCGTGCCCTGTGCATATATTCGTATATAGATGGGTACGTTCTTTGCATTCCAGCTCCTTCCAACCGAGTTAAGAATCGCAATATGGGGATTTTGTGCCCCACCACGCCGCGTATTGCAAAAAGACAACCGGAGCGGCCGATGGCATGTGCTTCCGTCAGATACCGCAACACCGCCCTTGCTGCACGCTTGTCATGAGTCTCGGGGCGTATGGATAAAGAGATATCACGCAGTACATGGTCGTATATCCGACTTCCCCTTTGTGAGCTATGACCATGATGTATTCCTTGTTCCATCGCTCACGCTGCAGCGCGACTATTTTGACGAGTTTGACATGTCGCGCATCGCCAATATTGGCTGGACATACAACTTCTTGCGATCAGGCTCTGCGTTAACAGCTTGTCAGCAGATTTTGCCTAGCTTACAATGCTACTCGATCGTAGTGACCGGCACGTGCTGCCGCCCGAACCAATTAATCTGGCTCCCCATGAAGCGCAGTTGGAGAGCCGCATCCGCTGTTCACGTTGCCTACCCCATATATCAACCGTAACTGGCTCGACTAGCAATCTAGGTACTTCACCGTTACGGCGCTTGTGTTTGCATCAAAACATACTTTGGGTCATAAGTCGCGGTGGCTCTACCTGGTTGGCAGGGTATGGATGGTACGGGCGTGGTGAATGAGGATTGGGCCGACACATGCTAGCCACTGCCAGTTGGATCAGAATTGCACAGGCGCCCACAAACTGTCCGGCCAGCGAGAAAAATTGAACAACATCGGTGTAGTAGAACTATAAACAGAATCACTCACCAAACAATATAAGCAGTATATTGCATACAACTCTCCTCCTACATCTACAAGGGTACCTACCTTGTAGACAGACAGCGACGTAGAGAATAAACACTTTCGCACTAAGTAAAACTTGCAAAACATCCCGAGCGCTGCTGCGCTGTCGTGGCCATGGTTATCTCCCAACCAGCCACGCCAGAGCGTGGCGCTGGGGCTCAGCTTGACGAGCAGTACCCGGATAGCTTCAACCTCAGAGCTCGCCAACAGCTCCTGAAAACAGGCCCTCCGGTAACCTTGCAGCCATTTCAACCCAGCAGCAGCCCAACCCGGAGTCTTGCAGCATACGACAGGGACAGAGGACATCGCCGCAACAGACGACTGGACAAGGGCACCCAAGACAGCACAACCAACAGGTTTGCAGCCCTCGCAGAAGAGGATGACGCCACACAAACGTCTACCCCGGTTTTCGATCTGGAAGCTGAGACCGAAGAAATCATCAAGACACAGAAGGAGAGACTTGACATACGCGCTAAGGTCCTCAGAACCTACGCAGAAGCAATCACAGCCTGCACGCGAAAATTCACCACGGGTTACGGACTACACATTGCCAATGAGTTTCAGAGCACCCTCCTCCGACATTGGAACCAGTTTGTACGCGCAGAAGAACCGCTCATACCAGGAAATAAGAATACACCCGCTCCAAGCTCACTCACAGGGACAAACAAACCTACGCCGCCAGCGCCGGCCGCCAGAGAAAACACCAGAAGCGACAAGTCGGTGAGCTTCGCCAACATCGCGAAAAATGCCTCACGCCAGGCACCAGGGGATGTGCACGTCCACCCCGACCGCCGCCAAACCACAACTATCGCGGATCGTACCGATCGCAGGGTCCTTCTCCGCTTGAAGAGTGGCTCCTCGTTCTTCGAGAAGGGCCTACAGATTCGCCTCGCACTAAAGGACAAGCTTGCTATTGCATCCCAGGACATCCAAGACATCAAGCCAACAAATACAGGATGGGCAATTGTGGCCCGGAACGAGAAAATTCAGCAGCTTATCCTTGAGAAGCAGAACGAATGGGGCCCATGCATCGACCTAGATATTGCAGAGAAACAAATCCCATGGCACACCTACCTGATCAAGAACTTCCCCAAGACTCTCCACTCTTGGGACGGCACCCTTCTGGACTTCGAGGAAACGATTGAAGAAGAGATCGAAGCCCAAACAGGGCAAAAGCCAGAACGATGGCATGTCTCACAAAAGCCTAATAATGAGGATCCGACCAAAGCAACACTGGTCATCTCATTCCTTAAGCCGCTGAACAGCAACTTCCGGCTACTCGGACAGGGAAGCTACTCCTTTAAACTTACCAAACCAAAGAAACTGTCTCAGTGCACCCACTGCTGGAACTTTCACCCGCCAACTCGCTGCATAGCTACAAAAGTCTGTGTGCGCTGTGGCGTCAAAGATGACGTGCACAGCGCTGACAGCTGCGGCAATACGACAAAATGCGCAAACTGCTATGGCGCACATGAAGCCAACTACGAGAACTGCTTCGCTCGCCCACAGAAGCTCCGCGGCAGCTTCCAGAAACTCTCGAAGACTCAGCTAATCTACGCCAGGCAACTAGGACAAGAAGACTTCAAACGAAAGAACAATACACAGCAAACTGACAGTGACCAACTCCCACTAGCTGTGGAACAGGGCGACGGAGACGCCTTCCCCCTACAGGATGCCGAGATGAGCGGCACAGAGCCAATTCAGACAACCCAGGTCCCAGAAACAAACCCAGTAAATATTGTAGATCACGAAGATAGAGGAGATACCCCAGGAGAGAGGGCAAAAGAAAAGGACGACGAAGAAACAGAAGAAGAAGCAGCAGAGGGGGAGGAAGCAGAGGAAGAAGAGATTGAAGAAGCACTACCTCCGCCAGCACAGTCGTACCCAACAGGAACCAACACAAAACAGGACCAACACGTCATTCCCAAACTCCATTTCTATATTACCGGGAAGGGTGCATCGCAAACAGCCACCAAGCAAAATTCTACGACCAGTACCAGCACAATTAAGGACCCGTACTTTACCATTAAAAAGCAGTTTCGACCTCAACCCCGAACTGACGACATAGAGCCACCGAGCGAAGCCACCGCCCGGGAACCACCCAGCGAAATCACCTCCGGAGAAATCATTGAAGTACGTACACCTAGGCGGACTTCAGCCACTCACTCGCCCCCTAGCAGCCCTCCACTAGCTGCCAGAAGGCGTGACCAGTCACCAAGCAAAATACGACGCATCACCACACGCGGGCGTAAATGAGAATCGCGCGAAATAGAAACCCCCCAAAGACTACGCTGAAAATATTCCAAGCAAACGTGGACAAAGGCGAGGGAGCCCACTGCGCGGCCCTCCAACTCGCTTTTCAGGAGGGCTATAACATAGTACTCATACAGGAACCAAACACATCCTACAACGCACAGAAAGGCCTCTGCAGAACACAACACCATCCCGGCTTCCTCTGTTTCAGCCCCGTAGACAGTTGGACTAATAACTTAACACGGCCACGAGTACTGACCTACGTACGGATAGATAGGAATATCCAAGCTGAACAACTTCTCCCAGCACGTCACCGAGACCTTCTCTGGGTCCAAGTGAATGGAACCACGATCCTCAACATTTACAACAGGCCAGAGGAAGAAACTTCGCTGGATCTCATTGAGTCATGGACCACTCCAAACCGATGCGTGGTCGCAGGGGACATGAACGCCTTCCATCCGTCGTGGCAGGCAGATCGGAGGGCATCGCAGGATGGTAAAAGGATCTTCAATTGGACTCAAGAACACGACCTAATCCTTCTGAACGACCCAGAAACGTCAACCACAATGCCAAGGCTAAACAAAAGATCCAGCACAATTGACCTGGTATTCTCCAACATCGCAACTGCTACTACAACCATAGAAGAACATCTCACCACCGGGTCGCTGCATTACACGGTTGGAACAGAGATCCCGGACAATGAAAGCAGCCCCAGGACCCCAGGGAAAATCCATGTCGGCCTACCAGAAGAAATCAAGGCTTTTGCCAAACACGTAGCCAGCGCGGCGTCGTCGCTACCAAGATGTATCCGATCTAGACAAGATATCGATGATGCTGCCGGACAACTTCTACAAGTCCTGCAAGACGCTGCAAAGGCTTGCGGCCGGATGAGTAGAGGGAAAAGAGCTCGACAGAACCCGTGGTGGAATAAAGAGTGCAAAGAAGCCCATGAAAGTCTTCGTGCTGCCCGATATACAGCAGAAAGCCGACATGGAGAGAATGTTCAACGCGCTAGGATCTACTTTAAGCGCACCATCCGCCGTGCGAAGCGAAACTTCTGGCGCACAGTTGTTGCGGATATCACCAACCCAGCGAATATCTTTCAGATCACTCGCTGGATAAAGCCAAGACAACAGCTACAGCCGCCCCCAATCCAACATGGAAACGAAGTCTACACAACGAACCTAGAACGCGCTAATATTCTACGCAAGGAGAAGCTCGAAAGACGGGACGCATCAGATGATATCCCAGATCCATGGACACCCACCGTGTCTCCAACCCAACAAATCCCTTTCTCGTCACATATCCCAGTCAGCGAAGCCCAGGATGCGCTACTCAAAACGGGAAACACCACCCCTGGATTGGACGGTATTACAACGAAAATGCTCCAAGCAATCTGGCCGAGCATCTCACAGGTCACCACACTCCTTTACAACGCATGTCTCGCCCTGGGATACCACCCAAGCCCCTTCAAAACAGCAGAGGTAGCGATGATCCCGAAACTCAATAAGAGATATCTCAGCGATATCTCCGCGTGGCGCCCCATCTCCCTCCTCTCCTGCCCATCCAAAGGGCTGGAACGAGTAATTGGCCGCCGTCTCGCATATTTGGCTATCAAACACAAGGTCCTCCATCCTAATCAGGCCGGAGCACTCCCAAAAAGAAGCGCCACAGACATTGTCACCGCACTTGTCTATGATGTCGAACGTGCCCTAGGTAATGGCAAGGTTGCTACTCTCGTCACCATGGATGTCAAAGGGGCTTTTGATGCCATTCTACCCAACAGACTAGTTCTACGACTTCGACAACAAGGATGGCCGGATTTCCTGGTTTGGTGGATCCACCACTTCGTTTCCCATCGCAGAGCGCTTGTCCGATTCCAAGATGCTAAAACAGAACCCGCAGAATTACCCTGCGGCCTTCCCCAGGGCTCGCCCATATCACCGATACTCTATCTCCTAGCTACAACTCCTATCTACTCTCTACCTGGGGCAACGGAGAGGTACGGCTATGCAGACGACACAGCGATGCTCTTTATAGGAGACACGCTGGAGGAGAGTACGGCGAAAGCAAACACTGCGATCGCGGAAATGGAAGCATGGGGACAACAGGAGGCTTTCTCTTTTGATCCAGACAAGACAGAAGTCATGCACTTCTCCAGGAAACAGAACAGGAGCTCCCACCAGTCTCCCACCAAGGCCGGGAAGTTAAGGCACAGAAGTCAATGCGCTGGCTGGGAGTTTGGCTCGACCGCAAGCTTACTTTCAACACGCACATCGAGAAATGGTCACTCAAGGCAAACAAGGTCATTTCACAGCTACGATTCGTTAACAATACGGTACGTGGAACGTCAGCAATAACAGCTAGGAGAGCAGTCTATGCAGTAGCCCTACCCACACTCCTCTACGGGCTAGATACATGGTTCCCTGGCTTCCCTTCCGAGACAACGCACAGGAGAGAGAGGACAATTACAAAAACCCAACTCTCAAAACTCCAAGTAATCTTAAACAAGGCCTGCCACGCAGTGCTGCCTGTCTGGAAGACCACACCACGAGTCATCCTCTGGAAGGAGGCAGGAATCCCGCCAGCAGATGTCATCCTCAAGCAAATGCAAGCGCGAACTGCGCTTCGCTACGCCATGCTAGATGCAGCCCACCCGATTGCTAGAAGGCTAAGGCAAGCACAGCATGAAGTTGACCAGAGCAACCACCCAACAGTACACAGCCGAACCTTGCGGAGGCAAAGTCGACTCCTCCGAACAGCGGCATGCACAAAGGGGGTTGAGCGACCAAAGCTCATCCCACGCCGCTTCAAAGACACCATTCCGACTGAGTGTGCGGATAGAAGACCGCCAAAAGAGACCGCCGTGCTGCAATTCCAACACTGGCTTAAGGAAAAACCCCCAGGATATGTCGTCTTCAGCGATGGCTCCAAGACAGAAATGGATACCGCAGGGTATGGATTTGCAGTATTCCACAATGGACGCCTCGTTGATTGGGGTTGTGGCCAACTTGGCTGCAGAGAAGTCTTTGACGCAGAAATCCACGGCGCCGTAGAAGGCCTTCGATGCGCTGTACTCGCCAATTTCACCAACGAACCGATTACAGTCTGTATGGACAACACTTCTGTCATCGACTGCATAGGAGCGACAGCACCAAACTCCTCACAAGCCAGTTTCAGAGCCTTTCAGAAGATAGGAGACAAATATCCATACCAGGCATCTGTTAAGTGGTGCCCAGGACATAGCAACATCTTCGGAAACGAGCTGGCAGACCTTCTCGCTAAGCAAGGAGCCAATCTCCCAGTCCCAGAGCACCTCCCCTCAGTCTCCTACCGCAGGAGACAGGTCAAGGGTCAGATAGCCGTAGACTACCAGCAATGGTGGCAAGGAGTAGAGAAAGCAGGTTACTCGTCGCTCGGCCTGCCCGCCGAGCTACGGAAGCTCCCTGAACTCGCTCTCCCACGCCGTCTTTTGGGATATCTGCTCGCTGCCCGATCACACCACGGTGACTTTGCGGACTACCACGAAAGATTTCACCCAGGCCAAGCGACCCTGGAGTGCCCCTGCGGGCGCCAAAAGTCGCCTACCCATCTCTTCTACTGTAGGAAAATCCCTCGCCATCTCCGGGTTCGGCTGATACCCGACCCTGAAGCGGCGATAGGACGGTTCCTCGGTAGATCCTACAAGGTTTACCTGCGCATTGCGGACTTCTATTACACGAAGATCAACAAGCGCTACTAAACCGAGTAGGCTGTACAAGCCTGGCGTGCTTTGTACTAGTATCCAGCCCGAGTAGTTAGCGCTACTCGTTCAGCAACACGCTTTCCCTTTGTTGAGGCATAT